AACCACTCAATTTACATGTCATCTAAACTTTAATCTTTACATATATGTCCACCTTACCTATGCAGGAAAATATGCATTTCACTTTTTAGAAATAAAAAATAGTAGTATTTTTAATGTGACATGAAAAGTAATAAATGTAAAAAAGAGAAGTTTAGGTATTAAAGATGTAAATACACAGGAATTAGGTGGTACATATGTAAATGCCCTTAACATTTTATTTACTAAAAAAATGTTATGATATGACTCATATACCATATCGAGACAGACACTAGATCGAAGCGGAGCGGAGCGGAAGAATCTGTCCAAATTGGGAAGTTACGTGGGTTGGGGTGCGGGGGCAAAGCCCCGCGGTATGTTACTGGGGTAATGTTGTAATTACATATTGTGCCTAAGGTTTACTCTTGTAAATAGGTCTGTTAGTAACCCCAGGAGGTATCCCTGGATTCTGTAATCTCTTTTCTGAATATTAAAAGGAACTCGCCGCTCTGCTCCCGATGACGTAGGCATCTTTGCCGAACCTCGTTAAATATCTGTGTTTTTCTTGATTTGTGTCGATTACTGTTTTCTTCGCCCTAATTTACTCAACAAGTGGTGTCAGAGACAAGGTTCAAGGGCAAGGGAAGAAAAAATTTAGACAGCGCAAAGAAGTTCAAAGGGTAGGTTTTAGACGGTTCGAAGGAAATTCGGCGAAGGATTTCGGAGGTTCGCGGCTGTCTAGATTTTGGCTCGGACGGCTGTGCGACAGGGGGATCGTTCGGAGAGGATTTCAGCAGCAGCGACGTTGGATTCTGAACGATCGGCGGCAAAGCAGTTGGAGTTCGAAGGAGAAGCTTTGTCGGAGATTGGCTTCGACGGATCAGCTCCTCGATCGTGCGAGGTTGGAGGAGAAGCTTTTTCGACGGATCGGCTGCTGGGTTCCGATTTTCGTCGGCGCTGCGGAGGCGTCGGTCCTGCGAGTGGGCGAAAATCGCGCGCGGGAGCAAAACCAGATGCCATGAAAGATGAAGATTGGGAAGAATTGCAACAGCGAGCGACAGCGACAATACGACTATGCCTAGCAGATGAGGTTATGTATCACGTGATGAATCTGAAATCTCCAGGAGAAGTTTGGAAGAAATTGGAAACTCAGTTTATGGCTAAATCTCTGACGAACAAGTTGTATCTGAAGCAAAAGTTGTATGGGCTGAAGATGCAAGAAGGGTCTGATCTGGCGCAGCATGTTAATGGCTTCAATCAAATAATCACTGATTTATCACGACTTGATGTGAGTATTGAGGATGAAGATCGAGCGATGATTTTGTTGTGTTCGTTGTCATCTTCCTATGAACATCTGGTGACTACTCTGACATATGGGAAAGAGACTATCAAAGTTGATGAGATTACTGCAGCGTTGTTGGCTCACAACCAGCGGAAGCAGAATATAGGGGAAAACTCTCACGGCGACAGTTTATATGTTAAGGGTAAACAGGATCGTAAAAGGAAGAAAGAGGAGGGATCTGGAAGGCGAAATTCCAGGTCAAAGTCTAGAGGCAAAAAAGGAAATTCATTGCTACAAGTGCAATGAGCCAGGTCATATGAAGAGAGATTGTCCAAAGCTGAAGAAGCTGACTGGGGAGAAAGGTGATACTTCATCAAAATCTGTAAATGTGGTGCAGAGTGAAAATTCAGATTGCAGTGATGGCGATATGCTCTCAGTTTCATCAACTCAGTTCACGGATGCATGGATTTTTGATTCAGGGTGCTCTTATCACATAAAACCTAACAGAGAGTTGTTTACTTCATACAGGTCAACTAATTCTGGCTCAGTCTATTTGGGTGATGATAGATGTTGCAATATAGTTGGTATTGAAGAAGTCAGAATTCAGATGTATGATGACACTGTTAGAACGTTATGTGATGTCAGACATATTCCAGATCTGAAGAAGAATTTGATTTCCTTGGGCGCTCTACACAGAAATGGTTTTATTCCTAAGGCTGATGAGGATAGGGAAACCATCAGAATTGTTAAAGGTGCACTGATGGTGATGAAAGGAAAGTTGACTGCAGGTAATATCTACAGACTGTTAGGGAGTACAGCTGTAGGTGGAGTTCATTTTGTGAAGTCAGATAATGACAGTACAAAGCTATGACATATGCGTCTGGGTCATCTCAGTGAACGTGGGATGACGGAATTGCATAAAAGAAATCTATTGCATGGAGTTAAAAGTTGCAAGCTCGATCTTTGTAAGTTCTGTATTCTTGTAAAACAGACTAGAGTCAGTTTTATGACTGAAAAACATAAAACTGAAGGAATTATTGACTATGTGCATTCTGATGTATGAGGCCCTACTAGGGAGTTGTCATTGGGAGGATCTCAGTATTTCGTTACCTTTATTGATGGTTTCTCCAGAAAAGTTTGGGTGTATTTTTTGAAGCAGAAATCTGAAGTATTATCTAAATTCAAACTGTGGAAAGTTGAGGTGGAGAACCAAACTGACAGAAAGATCAAGTATTTGTGGTCCGATAATGACACAAAATACACTGATTTGCAGTTTCAGAAGTTCTGTGAGGAGCATGAGATTCAGAGGCATTTTTCAGTGTGGAAGACGCCACAGCAAAATTGTGTGACAAAAAGGATTGATGCATGGATTTTTGATTTATGATGCTGTAATCACATAACACCTAATAGGGAGTGGTTTACTTCATACAGGTCAACTAATTCTGGCTCAGTTTATCTAGGTGATGATAGATGTTACAATATTGCTGGTATTGGAGAAGTCAGAATTAAGATGTATGATGACACAATTAGAACATTATGTGATGTTAGACATATTCTAGATCTGAAGAAGAATTTGATTTCATTGAGCACTTTACATAGATGAAGTACATCTTTTTGGGCTATAAGAAAGGTGTAAAAGGATACAAGTTTTGAGATCCAATTGCAGAGAAGATGGTGATCAACAGAGATGCAGTTTTTGATGAATAGTCCATGTTTCAGCAGAATCAAGACAAGGTGCAAGGGAACAATTCCAGTTCAGATGTAGTGTAGATGGATTTAGAACAACATCCAGAAATAACCGAGAGAGTTGAATGTTCAAACCCAACACCTGATGATTCCATTCCAGATGATTTGCAGAATTATAATCTAGCCAGAGACAGACGGAGACACACTAATATAAGACCTCCTGGCAGATTGGGTTATGAAGACTTGGTCTCTTGTGCACTTCTCATCAGCAGCGATGATCCAACAACTTTTCAAGGAGCTATCGCTAGCCAGGAGAAAGTCTACAGACGATGTGAGTATGATTGTTGTGTTTATGTGAAGAGCTTTGATGATGTTTCTATTATTTTTCTGTTACTGTATGTTGATGATATACTGATTACTGCAAAAAATATGAATAATGTCCGTGGTTTGAAAGCTTTATTGAGCCAGAAATTTGACATGAAAGATTTGGGTCCTACGAATAAGATTCTTGGAATGGAGATTTATCGAGACAGAGGCTCAAGACGATTATGTCTATCTCAACGAGGCTATGTTGAGAAAGTGCTGGAAATGTTTGAGATGAGCAATGTAAAGCTTGTAAGCACTTCTTTGGCAAATTATTTTAAGCTTTCTTCGGAACAGTGTCCTAAGACTGATACAGAAATGAAAAACATGACAAAGGTTCCATATGTCAGTGCAGTTGGCTGCTTGATGTATGCTATTGTATGTACTCGTCCTGATTTGGCTCATGTTGTTAGTCAAGTCTGCAAATACATGGTTAAACATGGAAGGCGACATTGGGAAACAGTCAAGTAGATTTTCAGGTATCTGAAGGGTACTGTAGGACATAGAATTATTTTTGACAGTCAGAAGAATGATCCTTCAATTGTGGGGTATGTCGATTCAGACTATGCAGGTGATTTGGATGGCAGAAGGTCTATAATTGGGTATGTGTTTACTCTTGGTGGAGGGTCTATATGTTGGTAATCAACAATTCAATCTATTGTGACATTATTTACAACTGAAACAGTATATGACAGTAGCTGAAGCTGCTAAAGAAGTCTTATGGCTTGTTGGGCTAGTAAAGAAACTGTGCGTTGAGCAAGGTGGAGTTCAGTTGCATTGTGACAGTCAGAGTGCTATTTATCTGGCTAAGAACCAGGTGTAACATGCGAGAACCAAGCACATTGATGTCAGGTATTACAAGATCAAAGAGTTAATTGCTTTTGAGGAGATACTGTTGCAGAAAGTTTATACTGATGAGAATGCAGCTGATATGTTGACCAAACCAGTTATTATCAACAAGTTCTTGCATTGCTTGGACTTGTTGAATGTTTGCAGTTGCTAGAGAAGCATGGTGGCCCAACCCACAGTGGTGCAGCTGTAACTCCCAGGTATTTTTCTCCTAAGGGGCTGGATATTCGCCAAGGTGGAGATTTGTTATGATATGACTCATATATCATATCGGGACAGACGCTAGATCGAAGCGGAGCGGAAGAATCTGTCCAAATTGGGAAGTTATGTTGGTTGGGGTGCAGGGGCAAAGCCTCACGGTATGGTACATGTGTAATGTTGTAATTACATATTGTGCCTAAGGTTTACACTTGGGATTATAAATAGGTCTGTTAGTAACCCCAGGAGGTATCTCTGGATTCTGTAATATCTTTTCTGAATATTGAAAGGAACTCGCCGCTCTGCTCCTAAGGACGTAGGCATCTTTGCCGAACCTCGTTAAATCTCTGTGTTCTTCTGGATTTGTGTCGATTACTGTTTTCTTCGCCCTAATTTTCTCAACAAAAAACAATTGACTGTTCTTTTACATTTCTATTTTTGTGAAAGAAAATGTAAAGTTTTCCGGTAGCATTAAATTGTTGTTCAGCGCATGTACCTTGAAATCCAAAATCCTAATTTTGCATTAGAGTAAGTCTTGTTTTGCATGAATTTTGTACCGTATGCTTCAAATCATGTCAATATATGCAAATGCATGATATATTTCCACCATCTTAATTGTTCTAATTACAATTACTCACCTTGACAGATGATCCCAAGCTTAAAGATTGTCAGAACAAAACCTTAACAAAAAGACTCGCAAATTTACTGGATGCCATTTCAGCCCCCCCAGCTTTTGCCGATGAGTCCGCTGTAACAGGAAAAATTATGGGGAAAGCCTCTTCGTCTTCAACAGATACAGTTCATGTCACTGCAGGGATGATCCGAATACAGCAGAGCTTGGAGAGCTGGAAATTGCAGAACCATTCAGGGATGGATTTTCTTCTTTCTTATGGGGTTAGCAAATCCATCAGCCATGAGAGAAGAAAGAAGATTCAGGGCGGATTTATTTCTTCTCTTTGCTGGGCTGGCTTCCATCTGTTCTTGCTCTGCTCGTGCGTGCTTGCTCTGAACTGCAAATTTGGAGCTTTGTGTTTCCAACCAGTAAGTCGTCGCGGATGAGTTTCATTGTCTTGATGATTATAATTTTTGAATTATAATTACTTTTATGGAATTAAAATTTATGCTACATGTTAAAAATGATTATGATAACTTGTATTGTTATTGAATTTTACTGTTGAAATGCTGTTGCATTTGAAAATATTTACTGAAGAGGACATTATTTCACTTTTATTTATTGGTAGGATAGCAGTTGGGTGGCTTTGTTTTGTAAATGTTTTTTTTTTTTTTTTAATTTGGGGCAATTACATGGGTAAAATCCTAAATTTTAATTATTTATATAACTGACATTACCTGTCTTTATTTATTTATTTATTTTTTAATTTTTTGCTTTTGTTGAATTCCAATGATCGTGGGTTGTCCCATTGTATGGGTTCGATTCCTATGTATTTACATATCTATACCTAAACTTTAATTTTTATATTTATACCACCCTGATCTTTTTAAAAGTGAAACACACTTTTTCATGCATAGATAAGTTGGTATGTATGTAAAAATTGAAGTTTAGGTGTTAGATATATGCAAATACATAAGAATTGAGTGGTGTTCAAGTAGATATTTCTTTAAAAAATAATTATAGGAGTGTTATATTTTTATGTAAATTATTAAAATTCATATTAAATTGTTGCCGGATTATCTTAAATGTTGAATAGTAATTGAACGGTACATGTCTTTAATTTAATGTTCATGTTTATAATGGTTAAAAATGATAGATATAATAATAATATATTTAAATAATGAATATGCTACTAAATGTATTTTTTAATTTTGATTTAGTGTAAATCAATTTGTTTAATTATATTGCGGTCTTAAAATAAAGTTTGTGCATTAATTGAGATTAAAATCATAGGAGAATTAATAAAAATAGTCCCATTGAGATAATAACATATTTCTCTTCTATGCATCTCTTCGTTTATTTTCTAAATAACTATTTATTAGCATGACAAAATTATCTTTTCTGTCGCTAATAGAAGTAAATAATTATACATCTCTTTTGAGGCATTTACGTACGTACCACTCAATTCTTATGATTTTACATATCTAGTTCTACATTCATATTTACTTGCAAATCACTCGAATCTTTCGAATAACTTACTAACAGATACTTGATAAGTTGGCAATGTGTGTATGTATATATATATATATATATATATATATATACCCCTCAATTCTACGTTGAAAGATCATGAAAATAGGAAAAAATAAGAGGCCTTAGCAGGATCAAAATAATCCACAAAATGTTTGCTAATATATAGATCTACTCTTCTCAAGCATTAAAGAAGATAGAATTATGATGATGTTATTACAAATGTATTATATTAGTTCAGTTATGATAATCATAATTGGACTTACATAAATATAACTAAGCATTTAGATTATAGCCGGTATTTACAATAACTACAGTTATATGGTTGACCACAGATATCATAATTGGTTGATGTATGATCACTTAATTGGAAGCTGAAATATTAACAAAATAAAAAAAAATATTAAAAAAAAAATCCTATACATGTCTTCGTCGTAATACCGTCCAAATTATTCATCAACCACAAATCCCAAATTCCCATCACTTGATCCGTAGTTATGGCAAAGCTGTCCCCAACGAACCTAATCCCCGCCGACACAATTCCCTAAACCCTAAATTTCACTTTCTTATCTTTCTTTCAGCGAAGAAGAAGAAGAAGAAAGAAGAAGAACAAGAAGATATGCCCATCTCCCGCCTCAAAATGGGAACCAGAGAAGAAATCACACGCCCCGAACTCCTCAAATCCGCCATTGCCGAATTCTTCTCAACCATCCTCTTCGTCTTCGCTTCCCGGGGCTCCTCCATCTCCTTCCGTAACCATCCATCCGCTTACTTTCCCCCTTCTCCCTTTTCTCTCTCTCTCTCTCTCTTTAATTTTGAACTTCTACTAATTCTAAATCCTGAAAAACGCAGAAAAACTCACCGGTTGTGTCAGTCAGACGCCGACAGGGCTCCTCATCTCGGCCTTTTCCAACTCATTCGCCCTCTCCGCCGCGATCGCCGCATCGGCAAACACCTCCGGCGGCCACCTGAACCCAGCAATTACCTTCGCCATCTTCCTCGGCGGCCACATAACCCTGATCCGCGCCATCCTTTACATTGCCTCCCAGCTCATCGCCTCCATAACGGCGGCCTTCCTCCTGAAATTGGTCATCGGAGCAGATCCATCGGCGGCGATGCCATCATCGCCGACATCAAATGCAGTATTGCTCGAGGGATTGAAGACCTTTGGGCTCGTGATGACGGTGTGCGCGGTGGCGGCGAAGGGGAAATTGGGAGGAGGGGGAGCGGTATTGGCGCCATTGGTTATAGGGTTTTCGGTGGGAGCTAACGTGATGGTGGGCGGGTCGTTTGAGGGGGCGGTGATGAACCCGGCGGCAATGTTTGGGCCGGCGGTGGTGGGCTGGGCTTGGGATGGGAAATGGCTTTGCTGGGCTGGGCAGTTCCTCGGAGGTGGACTTGCCGGGATTTTGTATGAGTTTTTCTTTGGGACTATTGAGTTATTATAATGAGTTGTTTGTTCAGCCTCTGCTCGAGCAGGATAATGGGCCGTTCTAGTGTTCTAGCTTTATGGTTTTTATTTTTTGTTTTTTTTTTCTGGGCGTTTGCATAGACACCATCAATTCTTATTTATTTACATATCTACCAACTAATTTTAATTGTTACATTTATATCACCCAATTCTCTCATGCCAAATAAATTTGAATTGCATCAACCTCGTTATTCTAATAAATAATGTACAGCCAAAAGTAGCCACAAGAAGAGGAATTCACATAAATGAGCATTTTCCCAGCCAAGTTTAACTATGGGAACGGACCCAAGAAAAGAATAGTTAGACAATCAACACAACACTGTTGAACTCGAACGAGTATCGACTGAGTACGAGTGATTGAGTACGAATAATCGAATGAGATGAGCAAAATGCAGAAGTAAAATGGTGGTCAGTCATCCACCAGACAATCAGTTAACTTTAGAAATGAATTATTCGTGAAAATCTTTGACTTTGTATGCATCACAATGACCTAAGTTTATTTTTTAAAATATGACACGAATATTTCAATAGTCAAAATTTAATCACATCTTCCAATTTTAGATCGGATGCCTAATTGGTGGAATCGTGTTCATTCTCATAATACAACAACTCACGCACATACAGTCTTTGTCTTATCTTTCTCACGCACTATTCATTGAGGCGTGATTCATAAACACAACAAGATTCGACAGATAAATAATCCAAAAAGAAATAATTTTTCGCTATAAATTTATAATAATAATGTTTACAATTAAACTCATGATTTTTTTTTCAATTTGAGAAAGTTAAGCCCAAAAGGTAATATGTGTGAATCTAACTTGAGACCTCATGTTAAAAATTACATCATCAACCATTATATCACAAATAAGTACATTATAATTGATGTGTGCTAGAAAGTTCGCGGTTGTAGAGTAACGGACTATCTTCTTAGCGTTGTACGAAAATTCAACACACGCACATATAAAAGATAATCAAGCAGTGATGGCTTCCCTCGACTTTTTTTTTACGTGGAAAACCTGTAAGGGAAAAACCACGAGGTCTAGCCCAGTTGTGGAAATTTACTATTGATTGATGATTACAGAAATCTCTTGTCCCACAGACAGAAAATGATAACTATATTTTTCAGATTACAACGTCGACTGACGGCGTCTGGTTGGTGGTGATTGACAATGGTAGGCGGTGGTCGTCGGCGGCCGACGTTGGTTGATGACGGAAGTCGACGGTGGTCGATGACGATCGGTGGTAATGCTAAGCTGCAGCTTCTTCTCAAGGTCTCAAGCTCTCTCTAGATTCAGCTTCCCCTCATGTGAGGGGTAAAGGTCTATTTATAGTGTTATGTGTGCAATTAATGCAAGAATATCAACCATTTTGATCAGATGATCCAGAGAGTGTCCTTCGATCATGCGACGCTTAATGAACATTTGAGTGTCTTAATAATGTCAGAATTGAGTGATCTTAGACTCGTTGAATTTGTCTTGTTGAGACGCTCAATTCAAGCATAGGCTTGCTAATGTCGACATCTGTTTGAACTTCCAAATGTGTCTAGAAATGTTCCAATGACAGTTTAATGACTTGATCTGAGTTTGATTTGATTCAGATTGTATTAGTTTTTATATCATTAGGTCTGTCTTATCGAGCCGGCCAGTTTGACTATAAGTTTGCTGAAATCAGAGCTTTAGATGAATTTTTATCAAAATTAGAACGCTTCTTGCTCAAAATATCATATCGGGATCCGTATTTGGTCTTGAGATTTGTGTCGGATGATGAAAATTTATTAGTGACATATCAATAATTAAGTACTTACATGATTAATCCGACTTAACTTTTCCAGCACAAATCAAACTGAAAAAAAAAAAAAGCAGAAAAGGTAAGAATTTTACATACCTACGAGATAATTCTTTTATTTATATTTTAAAACATCTTCTTATCAAGATTTAGTTGTATGAAATTATAAAAATATGTATTTCATTTTATAAAAAATAACGATAATGATATTTTTGACGTGATGTAACCGTCGAGCGGGTCCAGCGAGTCCGGGAAGATAAGTTCGAGCGAGGGAAGCCAAAGCTCACTGCTAAGGGCAGCAATGGCGACCGCATTTTCTCTCTATCGGAGTATTTCCTGCTCGTCGCCACTCAAAATGAGCTTAACCCTGCACAGCGATAGCACTCATCCTACCGGCAATGGAAGGATTTTAACTATTCTGGCACAGAAGAAGGCGAAGAAGACTCGGAGGGCAAAACCCTAGTCCTCCTGCTGTTCCCCATTCTCAAGGTTTGATTCGTCCTGATTGATTTTGTTTCCCTTCTGTTTTTGTTGTTAGATCATTTTGAAGGAGGATGTTACCGAACTCGGGAAAAAGGGGGAGCTGCTTGAGGTCAAGGCCGGGTTTTACCGCAACTTTCTCTTGCCATTGGGCAAGGCTCAGTTAGTAACTCCGTTGTTGATCAAGTACGCTTTTTGTTTCTATTTAAATTTCTGATTTTGATGTCTGTAAATCCCAGCTTTTCGGTGGATTGTTACGTTGAGCTTTTAAATCTTGTAATATTCAGATAACAGCGCTAAATTCTCAAAATGCTTATAGCATTATAAATCTCTGGGAAGTTTGTTCCTTCGATGAAGATGAAAATACGCTCCTTGAACCCCAGACCCTACAGACATTTATTTTATTCTTGCGTTTTGCAAGCCTGGACAGGGTGGTCAAGGTTTCGAGCCAGGCATTTCGTCTAGGGTTGGTGGAATTGGTTGTGGTAAAACAACTCTCATGTTTGGGGATTTGCTACTAGAGATTCAGCAAGGAAAGCTGAAATACCAGGATCATAACCACTGAATTAAGGGGCTGTTTGGTGATGGATTCAGTAAATTCTGTAAATCCGAAATTAGCAACGCCCGGATTTAATAATTCTTGGATTAAAGGAAAAACAGAGATGGAATTGGGAAAGAAACTAAATATACTGAATCAAGGATTCAAAAGTTGTCATTTTTTCATTCTGACTAGATTTAAGTTAAATCCAACTTAGGCGTTGTTTGGTTGCAAGTAGGATTTAGTTTGAATAGGATTTAATAAATCATGTAAATCTGGATTTATGAAATGTTGAAGGAGTTAAATCCTGAAAACTATTTGATATGTTAATTAGTAAATCTCAATAAATCTGGAGAAACTATTTGTTAACCTTAATAGGATTTACTAAATCTTTTTCTTCCCACACGCTTCAGGTTCTCTAAATCCCGTAAATTTGGCTTCCTACGGGATTTGAACGAGATTTATTAAATTCTGGATTTAAGGCAAAATGGAGGAAAAGTGGGATTTAAGAACCTGTAGGATTTACGCAGGCCTTTTTTGCCATTTGGTGATTTAGCATAAATCCTGTATAAATCCAGCTTAAAATCGGCTACCAAACAGCCCCTAAATCTGTTGCCAGACTGCCCAATGCTATGTTTGTGGAGCACATTAGTATTTTGATATATGCAAAAATGAAGGCTTATTGCTTGAATTTGGCTTAATTTTCATCTACAGTGTGGTTCACATAAAGCCATCTGGAAGTATCTAATCCTACACACACAGGAATCTTGAGTCCCTTGGCTTTGGTTTGGTTGTTTACATTCTTGGTTGATGTCGCCATGGCCACTACTTCATACTGACAAGACGAAGAGGGTGTGAAACCATGGTTTGTTGTGACGATGAGCTCACCGGAGGACTTGCAGGCATTGATCCTAGGGTCACCATCCACAATCTGTGCGCTAGCTTATAGCAACCTAATGCAAGCTTGAGTGACATCCCATGACTATTTCATGTGCTCAATTTGAGAGACCCAATCCCGTCTCCTGTACTCTTAGTAAGTAGTAATCTAAACTAATTGACTGCATCATTGGATATGAAAGCTTCAAACTTCAAGTAGGTACAAGCAATGAAGTAGGTGTATGATGCAACAACCAACATTACAGAAGAAAATTTTGATCCATTGGATAAAAAAGTTGATTTAATAAGGCTAGTCAAGCTTGGTTAGAGTCATGCTCATAGGTTAGAGTAATTAATTTTCTTTTCATAAACAATAAATTTGATTACCACTTTAGGGGTCCGCTTGCAGTAGTTGTAGTTGTAGAATAATTTGTCATTATTGTGAAAAAAATAGAGTTTTTGGAATTTGTTGTGGATAGTTTAGACATCTTCCATAAAAAAAATTTGAACATCAACTTTCTTAATCAGTTTGTGAAATCACGTTCACTATTTAAATTTTTTAAAAAGGAAAAAGAAAGTTGTAACCAAATAGAAATAGTTTGGCAATTTGTAAACTAAAGTTATGAGAAAATTATCCAAATATACTCAAGTCTTTGGGGGCTTCAAATAAACTTTCTTATTAAATTTGGGCCAAAGTGAGCGATTTTCTGCTTAATCAAAGCGTTTGCTTCATTATTTTTTTTTCCAGTATTTTAGAAAAGTTTGATCAATGCAGTAAATTGAAGCTGATGATTATTCTACAATTTTTCTAAGTATGTTTCTCATGATTTATTAGTTACTGTACATTCAGAGTATATTAGTAGTTTACCCCGTTTTTTGTGAAGTGAGTAAAACTGCATATTACCAAAGCTGTAGCTTTTGTTTTACTTAGTACCTTCTTTGCATGACTTCTTGTTATAATAATTATGAACTTCAATTTTATGTATTTTTATCCTCTCTTTAAAATCATAGAAAGAGATGGAAGTTGAGTAAGGAAGGCATAAATATCATTAATATTTTACTTCAATATTTTTTATACCTCCTAAAAAAATTTTGTGATGTGAAGAGGTAACCACACTTAAAGCTGAATTTGAAAAAGTAGCCTAGTTCCATTTTCTGATATTCAGTGTGGTCACAGAAATATTTTTCCTTTTTTTAGATAAAATAAAAGTGCCGAATTTATGATTTGCGCTGTACGGAGATTTCATGTTATGAACATGAATTTTTGTGACAATTCTTGCATGTTGTGACTCTGCAAATTGAAATTATAGAACACTGACACAATTGTATCTCCTTCTTGTTTGAATCTTAACGTCTATTCTTTTATCTTTTGATTTATATCTATTGGTTGTAATTCTCTTAGTGTATATTGAAACAAATTTACCCCTCTTTTGAGTTTAACATGCTTAGAACAATGATATTTCCAAACTAAATTATAGTTGTTTATAAGAACTAGAACTTTGGTCATCATCAAGTGGAGTCTTTTTATTATTGGTGCTTGCTTTGTCAAGTTAATTAGACATGACCTTTCGAGTATGATCACACTATTACTTTCAGACTGATTCTTTCCATACAAATAGGAAGTACCTGAAATTTATAAATTTATTTTTGGTGCATTTATAAATTTATATACATTCATTGTACTCAACTTTTTAATATCACATAAAAAATACCACTATCACCTAATTTTTAAAAAGTTAAATACACCTTTTTCATGTTTGGGTCTTCCACACCATAGTGTTATAAATGTGAATATGAAATTTTAGGTTTTATATGTAATTATTAAAGAATTGTGTGGTATGTATGTAACTTTACCTTTATTTTAATGTTGCACTGGCAATATTAAATTTGTGGCACTAACCGGGTACTCGAACAGGTGATTTAGCATGTATTATTGAGTTCAAATTTGAAAGAGTTGTACGATTGGATCTTGGATTACTGCTTCCTTATACTCAAAAGCTTTTCACACTTCTCGAAATTTTAGTTCATTCTGTGCTTGCAAGCATCACAGTTCTCTCTGTCATGCAGGGAGATGAAGATTGAAGAAGAAAGAATAGTGGCTGAGAAGAGGCGGGTATGGAAACTTATATGAATCCTTCATAGTTCTAACTTTTCAAATTTTTTATGTAAATTTAAATATTTTCATTTATGCATCCTCTTAAGAACAGCCCGCATTATTGTTAATAATTATGCTCTTAAGAATGAGTCTATTATATATAATTGCTATGATTCGTATGCAGGTGAAAGAAGAAGCGGAACAACTTGCTTTACTATTCCGGACCGTTGGTGCTTTTAAAGTGAAGCGCAAAGGTGGCAAAGGAAAACAAATTTTTGGAAGGTAAGCTCCCATCTTCTTCCATGCCAACATTATTGTATAAATATTGCTGTCCTAACCCCGGCTATGCTTAGTGTCACCGCACAAGATCTGGTTGACATAATCAAGGCCCAGCTTAATAGGTATTATAATTTTTTGGGCAGGCATTTGCATACATACCTCACAATTCTTATATATTTACATATTTAACGTCTAAACTTTCATATCTTTGACATCATTATTGATCTTGCAGGGATGTAGATAGAAGAATCGTTTCTCTACCGGAGATTCGAGAAACTGGAGAGTACATTGCAGAACTTAAACTTCACCCAGAAGTCACTGCCCAAGTTAGACTTAACGTGTACGCAAATTAGAGAGCACAGTGAACTTTCACAAACAGATTTCGATGAAGCATGTAAGTTATTTAATTAAAGGTTTTATCAGGATTAGCTTCCATGTCAAACTTTTATGATTTTCTTATGTTCTTTAGAATATGACACTCAGCTAAATCTCCTCTTTTGCTTTTCTTTTTGGGCATTTACATGCTTACCACATTCTTATAGATTTACATATCTAACGCCTATACTTTGATATTTACATGTATACCGCTCAAATTTTTGACATCACATCAAAATTACCGCTATTACTAACATTTTAAAAGTGGAATGCAGTTTTTCTTATGTATTTATGAAACTTTAGGGGTTAGATATATCTAAATACATAAGAATTGTTTGATATTTATGTAAAATTTTCTTTATTTTTTTCAGAATGCAGTTGCATGATAGCCGTCCGAAGGAGAATTGTTGTAATAGGCGATGATGATTTGTGCTCATTTCCTATGCATGTTAAGGTGGATTTTACTTTTAAAATTCAAAATAGTGGTATGTTTTATGTGATATGAAAGATTTACATACATAAGAATTGGGTGGTATGTATGTAAATTCCCCTTCTTATTTACTACTATAGAGAGAGAGACAGGCATTTTCTCATCACTTTAATGATATTTGGGCATGATGATATTGTGTTTGCCTTATTAATTTAAGGCAAACATCTTTCTTATGTATTTACACCTCTCATCATTTTAAAAAATTAGGAAAATTTACAAATCAAGCACACAATTCTTATTTATTTACATATCTCATAACTAAATTTTCATCTTTACATATATAGCAGTTAGCACAATGGTATTTTAAAACTAATCATGTATCGCACTTTTAAAAAGTGATAATAGTGTTATTTTTGATGTGATATTAAAGATTTGAGTGCTATGTGTGTAAATATGACACTTCCAATGTTAGATATGTAAATCGATAAGAATTGTGTGCTATGCATGTAATTTTCCCTAAATTTCATAATAATTATATCTAAATCAGTCTGACTCAACCTTATATTAGGCGAATAGACATAATCTTTCTATGGTCATGTATAAAATAATCTTATTCGAAGGTAAATTTTATTTTGAATTGATAGAAGTATTAAATATTATTCTAGTATAAATATTTACATTTTTTAAATCTTAAAATGGTAATTTTCATTAGTGTGATACGACATATTTGGGTGATATGCTTATAAAAAGAAAAATGAAGGTGTTAAATGTATAAATTCATAGAATTTGAGTGGTACGTATGTAAATACCCCCTTAATTATATTGCATTTGGTCTTGTTAATGTTAGTCTCACAGAAGGATGAGGGCATGACACAATCTTTTATTTAGGAGTGGTGGGAACATTTTATTTTTTCATATAAAGTTTATATTATACTTATTCATTTAAATAAGTGATTATTTTTTCAATTTTTATTTATTTATTTATTTATTGACATCTTGACTTCTAAGCCCCTTTAATTTTTATTGCATGGGTGGAGAGGAGGAAGATGAATATGGATTGGTCAATGGAGATTTTTAATTTGCACAAGGTCTATGGAGATGTGGGTCGAGGGTCTTCATTCCAATTAGGTGATTTGTGTTCGAAGCAGTTATATATATATAGTGAATGACTGCATATTTTATAATTAAATGCAAAGTATTTTATTTATTACTTTATGAGACTTGACCACACTACAAAATAGTCAACTGACATGGCATCTCTCTCTCTCTCTCACTCACTCTTATATGTAGAGTATTTCATATTCATATCGAGTTAATTTTATGTTACTTTAAATATGCTATTATAAGGCTCTATTGGGTAGTTAGAGTAAGTTAACAGATTATGGTAAATAATTTTTAGTTAGAGGCTTATAATGAGTTTTATACTGTTAATTAGGTAGCTAATGTGGCTTATGAGTTATTGCTTATAGTTAATATTTCTCTTAGAGAGTATTTAGGTATTAAGAGAAATAAAAAAAAAAATCCCCATAATTTTGAGATATTTTCTTTGCAATGTGGCAGTAAAGGGAATAGAATAAAGGAAATATCACAGTGAATAAATTTTGATTGGTGTTTAACCTAATTGTTTGATTTGATGAGAAGATTTTAGTCTTATTGAAGCTTAAGATACATACTAAGGGTCTTTTTGGGGTAGCTAAAGTGGTTTGATGAAGCAGCCGTGAAGTTGTTGCAGAAGAAACTATTGTTTAAGAAGACATGGTAGTTATTGCAATTTTTATATTTTTTAGAATGTCAAATCTTAGCTTTCTGACAGCCACTGCACTTCTCCATATTAAGTTGTGACATACTTTTTCTACCACAACTTATTGAGAAATCAAACAATAATTTAAGCCTCAACACTAAGTAGGGTTCAGATGACCCGTAAGCCTCAACGCTAATCAATTTCATCATGTATGAGAAATTCTACTAAAATTCTAACAACTTTAAGCCACAAAACTCTATTTAGCCTATCATGTTGTTATATCTGATTTAATTGCACATTAGAAAAAGGCAACTATTATGACTGGTAATGGTCAATGCTATATATATATATATATACATATAATAATTCAAAATTATTTCTATTTTGAAATCAAATTATACACATGCTTCACAAAGTAAATGGTGCTAGTTTGTTACATTAGTCATAGTCTCTCACAAAGTTTGAAATCAATCATTACATAGGATTGTCTCTCCAATTTCTTCACGTCAATCTCAAATATCAATAATCGGTTGTCATCATCCTCTTAGGGAATGTTTTAACAATTTCAAGAAGTAAATGCAAAGTTGTTGCTCAAAAAAATATGATGGCTATTACAATTTTATTTTTTAAAAAAAGTCATATCATAGTTTTTTAGCAGTCACTGCACTTATCTAGGTCAGGCTGTAATACACAGCTTCCAACTACATTTTTAAAAAAAAAAAAAAGCAAATTGTACTTTTGTCAAAATACTTGAAGGTGCAATACTACACTGCTGCCACAAACACAGCCTTAAGAAACCACCACATTTCATCAGTTATTTTGAATTCTAATTTGACATATTATCAAAAATATATCTCCCAACAAAATGTCGTCATTCTAGTTACATTTTGTGATATTACTTTTCCTATAAGGCCATTTATGGTTCAATAAAGAACAAAATTTCTACCATAAAAAATATATATATATACATATATATATATATATATATATATATATA